ATCCAGTGTCAGGAGTGTGGTAAGTGACTTTGTGCTGACAGTTACTGCTCAAGTGGCAAAATAAATACTGTAGAAAATAATTGGCTTTTTTCACAAACTGAAAACTGATGGAATTTCATGGAGAGAAAAAAGAGGGGTGTAAGGGCTTAAAGTGAAGGAGTTCTGTTATGAGGAAAAAGTACATGGCCCGTGCATTTTTGTAGTCCAAATAGGTGGTGTGAGCTGAACTGTGGTATCCCTGAGCAGAACTCTAGTGAGAAATGCAAGGATGCCATTGAGGGGGGTCTAGAATCTATTCTTTGTTTATTTTTTTTATTCCCCCTGCCCCCCTTTGACCTTGATCAGCTCTTGTTGGTTCTGCTCGACATAGAACTGATCTCTCAGAAGGACCAAGTCATTGTGTTTCCAGTTTAATGTTCAACTAGCTTCCTAATCTAGTTTCAGTCAAACAGAATACTAAATTCAGCCCTGATTGCAGCTGTACAAACTCTTCTATGGCTGTATGCACACGCGTTCACGTTTCAAAAATTTTTAGTCATAAGTTATCCCCATGATTCAAGAAGTTTGTGTAATATTGCTCTCATGTTTTGCTTGTAGGTCTTCAGGCCTCCAAACCCATGGACAATGGCCATAATGAATGTTTTAGCTGAGCTACATCAAGAACATGATCTAAAAGTAAACAACTGTTTTTCTTTTCTATACCTACTGAGTGTGAGGTTTTCTTGACATGCCAGTCAAGAAGGATGTTGTGAAGGACCAAATTTCACTTCTTGGTTCCTTAGCATGGGGAGAGTTGGGCATTGCTTAATTTGGTAGAACTTGGATGAAACTCTTGTCCTGTGAGGTCAGCATGCAAGGCATTTGTTTGATCCTCGGTCACTATTGAAGTTTCTAAAAGGCGTGGGGTTAGAATGGGAAGCTTGGGAGTAGAGTAGTCCAGTACACATTTTGGGTATTTTCTTTGCGACATAACCTAAACTAGAATTGTTGTGCAGTTGAATCTGAAGTTTGAGATTGAGGTGCTCTGCAAGAATCTTGCACTAGACATCAATGAGCTGAAACCTGGAAGTCTCCTGAAAGATAAGGATCGGCTGAAAAATCTGGATGAGCAGCTGTCCGCTCCAAAGAAGGATGTGAAGCAGCCAGAAGAGCTACCACCCATCACAACAACTAGTAAGAATGTTTCCTGTAGAATCCAGAACCACACTATAGAAGTTAAAATAAGACAGGTTATGCTATTGTGAAGAAAAATGTGAAGCTACATATGCTATTGTAACATTGCTGAATGCTTGGGAGCACTTGAATGGTTTTGTAATAAAGTAAGTGTCCAGAGTCTGGAGATGGGAAGGGAATGGAAGTCATCCCGAGGACTATTACTGCATGTGCTGTGTGTAGTTACTCCTTAGAAGGGAGTGAAGCAGGATGATCTGTTAACGTGACATCAGGGGCTAAACTGTCATAACAAACAGCTCTGTTAAAATATGCTGGAGTTAATTTGGTACTAATCATTGGGAAAATGGAGGAGAAAAATTGCTTGATAAGTTTAGGAGGCTTCATGGTCAAATGCAAAACCTCTTGTTTATTGGTCACTTGCTGGTTTAAATGGAATTATGTACTTCCATTATAATCATTTGCTTTTCAGTAATGGTTCAATACAAACATTCTTGTATTCTATAGCTGCTTCTACAACTCCAGCTACCAGCACCACTTGTACAGCAACAGTTCCTCCGCAGCCGCAGTACAGTTATCATGACATCAACGTCTATTCTTTAGGAGGGTTGGCTCCACATATTACCTTAAATCCAACGGTAAGTTTTAGAGCTGATTTGGTTTGCTAAAAGCATTTTTGCCACTAACATCGCCACAGATCTCAGCTGGTAGGAGGAGCATTTTGTAAGTTGAAGTTATTGGAGAGTTGATTCTCAAAAGTAATGGGGAGAGTGAGTGCTAAAAAGTAATCAAATGGAGACCTTTAGGGGAGTGGTTAGTAGTTATATTAGCTAACAAAATTTCACGTGGTCAAGTGATCTTTTGCTGTGACATTTACGTCAGTATCCAGTTTATTTCTGGCAATAAGTGTCAGTTGGGATAGTTGCTCTCAGGACTTAGGCTTAAAAGGAGGTTCTGTGCTCCTTAACAGAGACTTAGCTCTTAAGTTAGTCTTAGCATTGTGTTCAGCTGCAGCTTTGGAAGAAAACTGGTCAGATGTTCCCAGTGTCAGAATTATCAAACAGATAATGTAATAGCTCTATGTGGAACATGGGAGTGCCCCACTGTAGACAAGCTATGACAGTAAACTTAAAAGTTGTTCAGAAAACGTGAATGGCTAGGGTAGATGGGATTCTAGTTTGCTTTATTCTCACTTAACTCTCCTTATCCTCCTCCAGATTCCACTGTTTCAAGCCCACCCGCAGTTAAAGCAGTGTGTACGACAGGCGATAGAGCGAGCAGTGCAAGAACTTGTCCACCCGGTGGTCGATCGGTCCATTAAGATTGCCATGACTACATGTGAGCAGATAGTCAGGAAGGACTTTGCACTGGATTCAGAGGAGTCACGAATGCGTGTGGCCGCACACCACATGATGCGGAACCTGACTGCTGGGATGGCCATGATTACCTGCAGGGAACCTTTGCTGATGAGCATAGCCACCAACTTGAAAAATAGTTTTGCTACTGCACTGAGGGTAAGAGTTGCATCATCACTAGTGTGGACGCTAATTTAGTGAACAAAGGTCTCATGACTCTTGTGGATTTACAGTGAAAAAATTGTGCTAAGATTACAACTTATGTCGAACAGTATTAAGCCTGTAATGTGGATCTTACTATGCTGCACACAAACTTCCTGCGTACCTTTTTATTTTACCCCAGTGTTATCTCCTGCTTGATCACTTGGTAAACCTTGAAGTGCTTATCTTTCTGTGGGTTTTGAGTTAGAAAAGGTAGAGTGGGATGACTGAGTTGATTCTGGGACTTTCTGGTGGTGTCTTGGGTTGTTTCAGCATGCATGCATGCTTCAGGTAGATTTTATTTACTTGTCCTGTTAGCAGATACATAATTAAGATTTTTCTGTGTGGCCTGTTAATTCATTGGGGTTTTTAGAGAACATTCTCAGGTCTCTTCATGAACAAAATTTGAGCTGCAACACTAGCTTCTGCTTGGCTAAATGGAACAGAGTTCATGAACTGCTGGCCAGAACAGCAGTCACTCCCCAGAAAACTTGCTGTGCTTGCCATCAGTGTCAGCGACACAAGAGCATAAGGATCTTTGAAAGATTAAGACAACGCTGTCCTTTCAGGGATTAAAGAAAAGTTAAAGTACAGCCTACCTCTTGCTGAAGGCCATGTTACTATTTCCCATCTGGTGGGGAGTGACAGTGCAAAGGCACTTTTGCGGTGGCATTGCTCTCTTGCATGGTAACTGGCTGAAGAGGGCAGTACTTAATGGTCTGAAGGGAGCACAAAACGTTAGCAAGAATTGCATCTGCAGGTATGGGATGTGACTCTCAGGCCTCAAACACTCTTGACCTTTCGTATACAGAACTTGAAGTAACTTGATTGCTGAGATGAAGAGCAGGAAAAGCAGACAAATGAATCTTACTCATCCATCTTAAACACAAGGATGGGAGTAGATGGGTTTAGTATTGCTTTATTTATGTGTGAGCTGAGCCAGTGACTGCTGTTAGCACCTGTGCTAACAGAGTTTGGGTGTCAAGCTAGTAACTGTCGTCATCTGGGTAAGAGGGGCACAGATATTTCTCTGGTATGCAGTCTTGCTGTGTTTCATTGAATATGATTGCAGTTCAGGTAGGGAGGCAATTGAAGTGCTGGCTGTCTTTTGGGTAGTATAAGAAGGCAGAGATGTGATACTCAAGTTGGGGAGGAAGGGTGAGCACAGACTGGTGTTACAACTGTGTGTGCCAGCTGGGCATGGGGAGGAGGGTGCCTACTGGGCATGATAGAGCAGAAGGTTGTGCTGCCATTCAGTGAGACTTGGACAAGCTGGAGAGTTGGGTGGAGAAGGACCCTCATGAGATTCAATAAGGGCAAGCGTAGGGACCTGCAGCTGGGGGAGGAATAACCCCAAGCGCCATTACAGGCTGGGGGTCAGCTTTTGCTGGAAAGCAGCTCTGCAGAGAAGGACCTGGGAGTTATGGTGGACAGCAAGTTAGCCATGTGCCCTTGTGTGCATTAAAAAGAATGTGGCCAGCTGATTGAGGTAGGTTCTCCTCCCCCTCTGCTCTGATGAGGCCACATCTGGAGTGCTGTGTCCAGTTCAGCGGCCCCCAGTTCAAGAGACAGGGAACTACTGGAGATAGTCCGGTGGAGGGCTATGAAGATGATGAGGGGACTGGAGCATCTCTCTGAGGAAAGGCTGAGAGACCTGGGGCTCTTTAGCCTGGAGAAGAGAAGACTGAGAGGGGACCTTATCAACACTTACAAATATCTGAAGGGTGGGTGTCAAGAGGATGGGGCCAGACTCTTCCGTGGTGCCCAGTGGCAGGACAAGAGGCAATGGGCACAAACTGGAGCACAGGAAGTTCTGCCTGAACATGACGAAAGACTTCTTTACATTGAGAGTGGTAGGGCACTGGAACAGGCTGCCCAGCGAGGTGGTGGAGTCTCCTTCTCTGGAGATACTCAAAACCTGCCTGGGCGTGATCTGTGTGATCTGCTCTTGGCAAGCCTGCTCTGGCAGGGGGGTTGGACTAGATGATCTCCAGAGGTCCCTTCTAACCCTTACCAGTCTGTGTAAAGTTTATAGGCAGAAGTAATTCAGGTTTTGCGGAAGACTTCATGCTAGTGTATCATGGTGTTTGCAAAAATGTCATAAATAGTACAAAAATGTAGCAATGTCCTGAGTTTTTTTTAATCTGAAGATGTACGAAACTGACACAGGGCCAGTTTTAATCAAGGAGGTTTTCTTAAGAGGTAACTATAGAAAACATAGTGTTGCAGAAGAAAGTGATATACAAGACATGGAAAAAATGCACGTCTGGGTTAACAAGCAAGAATTTCTTTCAATTGAAAGCAGCAGTGTAGCTTTCAGGAATTAATGAAATAGAGGTTTATCTTAATGGGCAAGGAAGTCCAAGTAGACTGGACTGTGTTTATATATGCATTCCATTTCCAGTGAGAGTGTTTTGCACCCTGGAAAGTTCATCTGTTCAGGGTTCTCTTAAAGCAGACTCCTGAGAAAAGAAAAAAATCTGTATCGGAAAGGGAACCCACTGAAAAAGGCTTAGGACTACTGTTTTGCCTTGTTAGCGATGCACCTTTATATCTTCTGATTACAGCCTAGGAAGTGGAAAAACTTCTATGCTGTGATGTGAGGCTTGATTTTTCCTGTATTAGCATCTGTTGTATGTGCATCAGTCTAAAGCAGGGCTTTATTTTTATGCCCTGGAGATAGGTTGGTGGAGACGATGGAGAACCTCCTGCTGCTTTGTGCCTTGTTGAAAGTCTTTACTGTCATCTTGCCTGCATGTTTTATTCAGAGCTATGCAAAATTAAATTTATTATTGTGTCTTCAATGCAAAGAGTGCATTCCTAAGAGCATTCCTTTTTGTTGCTGGTGTTCTGTATAGGTAGTGGTGCAGATTTTAAGGCTAGTAATATACAGGGAAAATTTACAGCTTTCACTGATTATTGTGGTTTTCAATAGGCAGCCTCCCCACAACAGAGGGACATGATGGAGCAGGCAGCTGCCCAGTTAGCCCAGGATAACTGTGAGCTAGCATGCTGCTTTATCCAGAAGACAGCTGTGGAAAAGGCAGGCCCTGAGATGGACAAGAGGCTTGCAACTGTAAGTATGGGACTGCTGTCTTTTTAAAAAAGTATTATATGTGCTTGTATACATCCAGACTCTGTGGCGAAAATTCAATGTGGTGTTTGGGGTTTTTTCCAGGAATTTGAGCTCAGAAAACATGCTAGACAAGAGGGTCGTCGGTACTGTGATCCTGTTGTGTTAACTTACCAGGCTGAGCGGATGCCAGAACAGATCCGGTTGAAGGTGAGGAATATTAATTGAGCTATGTTCTGATGCACCTCTTCTCCCTCCCCTGATAATGAAAAGTGCATGGCACAGCTTCAGCTGAACAATCGTCTGTATTGTTAGTCTTACCTAACAGTGTAACTGCTATTAGCTTGATTAGTAATGGAAACACAAGAATATGTTGTTCCAAAATGGGTGTTTGTATCCTTTTCCTCCATTCCTTGAGGACAGTAAAAGTCCTGACTCCTGTGCCATTCCTTTCGCTGAAAGATAACTAGTCTGTTTTGTTGTCTTGTCTCCTCTATTTTCTTCCCTTAAAGGACATACTGTGTGCTCTCAGCAGAGCGTTTCTCTTGTGCCTCAGACACATGTGAAGCCAGTATTTGGTTATTCCTGTTTCTGGGAATGTGAGTTGCAGTTGTAGAGCAAAATCCTTCTGTTAGGAGGTGTGGCAGGAGAGATGGGAGCTCAGTGCAGAGCTGCTGAATCCTACTTCTTGATGTCTAGGCCACTGTTTAAAAATGTGACTGAGCAGCTACCAGCTGCCCTCATTTCTTACTGCCACAGTACTTAACAATGAGATTACTGCCTTCTTTTCATTGCAAAGGTTGGAGGTGTGGACCCAAAACAGCTGGCTGTTTATGAAGAGTTTGCACGCAATGTCCCTGGCTTTTTGCCTACCAATGACTTAACTCAGCCTACAGGATTCTTGGCTCAGCCTATGAAGGTAAAGACTTCTGATTTAATCAGCTTGAGAGTACTAGAGCTGTTCTGGTGAATGTTGCAGAACTGGTGTCCTTTGCTAGAAGACTAATAAGAATCAGGCATTTGTATTGCTTGGGAATAGTGGTTGAAAGATGCATTAGTTTTAATGGCAAATTAATGGCAACATAAAACTTGCATCCAGTCTTAGATGTTGTAACCCAAATTGGGTCAAGATCTGCAAGTTAGGATTGCTATGTGTAGTTTTAGTAGCAGTGAAACATTTTATTCAAACCTCAGCTTACTTTTGTGGGAAGATCATGGATGGTAAGAATGGATTTTGAGATAATTAACAGGTTTTTGTATGCGTACGGGGTCTTAACTAGCAAACAATTCTAGCAGTCCTTATTTCCAAAGCTTAATTTGTTTATATTTGTGTGTTTAAAATGCTAGCATAACTAACCACAATACTGTAGTGATCTAAACTGAGTGCTATGGTTTCCAAAGCAAAAGAGCCAATTGGTATTTGAGTTTCATAAATACAGTTCTTGCGAAAATCGGTCATTCCCACTTTCTCTTAAGCAGCAAGCTTGGGCTACAGATGATGTAGCACAGATCTATGACAAATGTATGGCAGAACTGGAGCAGCACCTGCAGTCCATTCCACACACCCTGGCCATGAATCCTCAAGCTCAAGCGTTGCGCAGCCTCTTGGAGGCTGTGGTAGTGGCCCGTAACTCCCGTGATGCTATTGCTGCACTTGGACTGCTGCAGAAGGTGGGTGTTGACAACTCTTATCCTTTAACAACTTACCTTGAGTTTATTGCTCACCTGGTTTGTGGATTGTCTTGCTGGTGACTTCATGCATTCGGTGGAATTTGCTTGGTGAACAATACTGAACAACTGCTGTCTTGGACAACTCATGAAATAAAATTAGAAGAGGGCCATTGTGTTCATCGTTCAGTGTATTGTACACACTGTGGCCAGGCTGCTGTGGGAAGCAGTAGGTCCAGAATCCTGGCACTTAGGGGAGTTTTGTCCACATGTGGCAAGCAGAGAGCTGTTGCAATGCAGAATAGTCTTTGATTTCTGGATGATTTGGAGGCTAGAAAGGCGTTCAAACTGCCCTTGTAGATGGATAGTATCGAGCATAGTACTGGATTTATAGCAGCACATTTGGGGATTGTGTTTTGCAGTAACTCATAAATGAGTATGCATGGTGGGTTGACCCTGGCCAGTGGCCAAGCACCATCAGATTGCTCATTCCACTCTCCTGTGGGACAGAGAGAAAATAGAGGGAAGACAAGATGCCTTGTTCATTCAGATTATGACAGTTTAGTAGGAAAGCAAAAGCTGTGTGCACAAACAAAGCAAAAAAAATTAAGTTGCTACTTCCCATCAGCAGGCAGGTGTGTAGCTGCTCCTCAGAAAGCAGGGCTTCAGCACATGTAAAGTTTGCTTGGGAAGGCAAACATCATAACCATGAATGCCCCCCTTGTCCTCCTTTCCCTGAGCTTTTATTGATGAGCATGATGTCATATGGTATGGAATATCACTTTATTCAGTTTGGGTCCTGGCTCTGTTGCTTCCCAACCTCTTGCCCATCCCCAACCTACCCACTGGTGGGGGAGACAGAGTGGGAAAGAGAAAGCCTTGGTGCTGTGCAAGCCCTGTTCAGCAACTGGCAAAACACGGGTGTGTTGTCAATGCTGTTTCAGCACAAATCCAAAGCACCAGCACCATATGGGCTGCTAGGAAGAAAATTAACTCCGTCCCAGCGAGAACTAGTAGACTGTACTGGGTGAGGAGTGTTGCAGTGAACTCTGTGAGCTGAGCTGGCATCAGTGCCTGTGTAGTAGTGCAGAGCATAGTGACAGATGTAGAGAAAAATCTATTTGAGTATAGTGAAAGGATATGGAGCTGTCTGCATGATGATCCAAGAACAGTGGCAAAACAAATGTAACTGAAAGGTGGAGGGAGACTCTTTGTTCTTGACTGATAATGCTCCTACCTCTTAAAGGATCTAGTCCTGACTAGGACTTGACCAGGTGAATTGTGCTGCCCCGTAAGACTCATCTTCCATTTGCTATAGACTAGCACGGGTTCATCCGTATGCTGGAACTCTGTGTCTAAAGAACTTGATAGCTGACCTCCGGCAGGGTCTGTAATTTTTCTTTCATGTAGTTTCTTGTGAGCCATATGCAGAATTGCTTGTGAGGAGGCACTGACTTGCAGAAGCTGCAGCACAAACTAATGCGGTCTTTCACACTGTTTGGCACATGCCTACAGCCAGTGGGGCACAGAGAGACTGTAGGCTTGTTTGTGGTAGGACAGTGAATGTGTAGGTGCTGTAGTAGCTAGTAAAATCTCACATCAAGGCATCAGCATGATGACTAAATTTGGGGTTTGCATGTCCATAGAGTCTTCTGGTGATAACTCTTGCTGATGTAGTTTGCAGAAGATTTGGAAGAGGACTTGTTTTTTCCTCTGCTAACAGGTTGCATCTATTCTAGGCTGTAGAGGGCTTACTGGATGCCACCAGTGGGGCAGATGCTGACCTCCTCCTTCGCTATCGTGAGTGTCATCTGCTTGTGTTGAAGGCTCTGCAGGATGGCCGTGCATATGGATCTCCATGGTGTAATAAACAAATTACTAGGTCAGTTGTGAGACAGCGGGAGCATTGATGTAGCTTTCATCATCTTTTGGGAGTTCTTGTGTTATTTTGAATTGCTCACTGGTTGATATTTTGCATTGTTGCAGTTTGGACAGACAAAAAGTAACAGTCTTGTCTGGTTGAAAGTGACTAGATCTTCTGATAACTCTGCTTCATCCTAGAACATGATAGCAATCTTTAATGCAGCTAAGCATTAGAGATGCTCTGGGTTTTTTTTCCTCATATTATAGAGAATGTCTCCATATGCTGTCACAAACTGTGTGACATGGCATATGCCTGCACCAGAAGCACTAGTGCTTCAGCTAGGCAGATGTGCCACTTTGCAGAAGAGAGGCTGCTTCTGCTGAATAAACTGAAGCTCTTAAAGGGCTGTTGTGACCAGTTGTGCAGGGCAACAAATGCTTTTGAGGCTCATGACTATTCTGAATCCAAATATTACCTTAGAGAATGCTCTAGAAGAGGCTTCTTTTGTAGCTTAGCGATGAATCACAGTGTATGGCACAGTTTCTGGTGTATTAAATTTGAGTTGCTTTGCTTAAGCTGTGGTGTTGAAGTACACTTTTTAAAAGCAGTCTAATTCTTCAGGTGCCTGATTGAATGCAGGGATGAGTACAAATACAACGTGGAAGCTGTGGAGCTGCTAATCCGCAGTCACCTTGTTAACATGCAGCAGTATGACCTTCACTTGGCTCAGGTAAAGGGAAACAGTTCTTTTGGAGGAGAAGAGTTATGGTCAGTCCACTGTAAAATTTGTGCTTGAACTTTTAATTGCCTTTTTCATGTTGACAGTCAATGGAGAATGGCTTGAACTACATGGCTGTGGCATTTGCCATGCAGTTGGTAAAGATCCTGTTGGTGGATGAGCGAAGTGTCGCCCACGTAACAGAGGCAGATCTGTTTCACACAATTGAGACACTCATGAGGATTAATGCTCATTCCAGAGGAAATGCCCCAGAAGGGTGAGATTGAAATACTGTGTGCAATATATTACTTCTCTCGTGCTCATCTATGATTTTATTATATAGGCAATGTCTCGTAGCATTGAATCATACAGCTTTAACTTTCTCTAGGGCTGCAGTCCTATGTTAATTTAAACTGTCACACTAATATAATTGTGCTGATTTTATGTCAAAATAGAGGGAGCTGCAGCATCATCTCAAACTGAATGCTTGAGCAGGAAACTTTCTTTCTATGCACGATGCTCCAAAATACCATGGTCCTTTTGAGAAACTTGCTTGAATTCCTGCTTTATTGTGGATTTAGGCAATAGTCTTACCTGTTTAAATCTTAACTATGTAGGTGTTAATTTGTTAATCACGAGCTATTAATGAAATTAGACAATCCTTTCTGTTTCTTTAGATAGTTTTGTTTAGAGTCGATGAAGCAGTCATCCACTGGTCTCACATGGCTTGTGTATCCACCAGCAGATAATTGGGCAGCAAGTGTTGCCACAGCATCCAGAAATACTTGTGGGACAATAGGCCTCCTATTGCTAAGGTGGAAGCAATTGCAGCTGGGTTTGAGAAAACATGGACTGGAGCTTGCAGAACTCAGGATTGCTGTGAGCAGCCAACAGCTGGCTGGTGGTGGCGGCAGTGGCTGCCACTGCCAACACAACTGCTAGTGAGATGTCTCAAAACAAAAGTCCATCTTGGAGCATTGTAGGGCTTCCAAAGTCTGTAAAAGTGAAGCTGTCTCTAGTACTTGTGGTGCTTTGTTGCAGCACGCTGTATGAATTGGAGTGGAACTTCAAAGCTTGTATGACTTCAGTGTTCCTTCTTTCATCATGACTGTATCTGCTTTCATGACTTATTTCTGGTATTCCAATGAGGCCTGGAAGATATGAAGATTTAGTATAAGAAATAATTTGCTTTCTTTCAACTATATTTGATTGACCTTCCAGTTTCCACACCATGTGGGGGAGGAGAAGTTCTAACCAGGCTCTTGCTCTGGTCTGTTGCATTAGATTACCCCAGCTGATGGAAGTGGTCCGATCAAACTATGAAGCAATGATTGACCGTGCTCATGGAGGTCCCAATTTTATGATGCATTCAGGAATTTCCCAAGCCTCTGAGTATGATGATCCGCCAGGTCTGAGGGAGAAGGCAGAATACCTGCTGAGGGAGTGGGTGAACCTCTACCATTCAGCTGCAGCGGGCCGTGACAGTACCAAAGCATTCTCTGCGTTTGTTGGACAGGTAGAGCTTTTGGAAAGAAAGGTGCTTTTTATTCAACATAAGTAGGGCATGATGTCCTCCATTTTAAAGCAGTGTTATAACCCATGTTAGGCATCCTTTTGAAACTTTCAGGTGTATGGCAGTTGACTTATCACAATTTTCTCTGGTTTTGATGGTAAAGTTCTGTAGAAACCCTTACCCTTCACCAAATCATGTTCTTCAGATACCGTAGCAACAAACTGTCAGTGCAGACCATGAGTTTTGGGGTAAGTCTGGTGGGAAAAGAACTTTAGCTGAGATAGTTGTTGGGAATAGTTCTGAGACGCTCTGTGTAATGAAGCCTGACTAGTGTTGCTCCTTATGGGTAACAGTAAAAGCTCTGACAGCCTAAAGGAAATTGCTAATAGAGAGATGCAGGTGAATTGTTTCAGACCATGTGAATGAGGGAATCCTTTTTCTAGCTGGAATTCTTAGTGACCAAGATCTTGAAACTTCATTAGCTAAAGTGCTGCCTAAATTTAAACAGCCTCCAACACTTCAGTCCTGGGCACCTTAACAGGTGTGATGAACAGCATGCATCTGCCTTCCAAGTGTGATTGAGAAGGCAGATGCACTCGGTAGCTCAGCATATGTGGTAGCAAACTCCCTATATCTCTGCAGTCATCTTCGTAAAACAGAGGTCCTGGCAGCTCCTTGACTGCAGCTGCAAGGAAGCCCCTGAGTCAGTCTGTTTGCATTGTGTTCTCTTTAAATTTCCATGTTAGTACCATAGAAATGCTGCAGATTTTGCAGCTGCTACCAAAAAGAAGTTCAAGCTATCAAGTATGCATAAAGATCTTGACTGATGCAGTGATTTTTTTATGTGACTTTAGTGTCTGCATGTACTGGCTTGTAGCCAGCTTTCTGTTGGTCTGACTTCTGCTACATAACATCTTTTTTGATTGTTTTTAATGGGTCCAGTGTTAAACCCACTCTTTAAAAAAAATACGCTCTTCTATCATACTAGTTTGCTTACCTTTTGTACATGTTTGATCAGGTTTGAAATAGCAATTGCAATATATCGAAATGCAGTGTTTATATGTAACTTTTTTCCTTACAGGCTTTAGCTGTGGGTATTGACTGCATTAAACAAGGTTTTATTACTGAACTGACCACAACTTTGTCTGCTTAAATTGTCTTGCTTCTTTTCCACTAGCATTTCAGACAAGGAGCATAGAACTTTGAAGGCAGATACATGAATGCCTTTTTTTAAAAAAAGTTTCTCCAGAAATACTACTTCTCCCAAGAGTTAGCAATTATGCTGTTTATATAGCTTCTTGTCTGTGCAGTAGGGATTTAGAAGTAAGATGCTTTATTCAAAGCCCAGAGGTTTCCTGCAGTGTAATGTGTTTCATTTTGCTGGCTTTAACACTGGGGGTGACAACTAAAAGGAGGTCTTTTTTTTGTATATATGTTATTAAAAACACCACTCCCCACCACCAGTGCAAAACAAACAAAAACCCACTGAGTCTTTCTCTGCATGTAACGTTCCTGAAAGGAAAATTCACTCTCCAAATGCAGTTTACTACTGCAGAACGTTGCTGCAAAGTAGCTCTGGTTCCTGAGCTAGTAGCTGAAGTCTGCCCTTCCCAAAGCTCATACACCCTTTGTGGGCTCCTAAAGGCCTGACAGGCTGAACTGCTGTCCTTCATGCAAGGTTGATCTTTGGTGGCAGAACTGATACTGAAACTGGCTTCTCAGCCATGCTGATGGCTGAAGAGACTTGGGATTGAAAAGACTCCATTTAGGAGTAAATGTCTCTGCTAAAATTGTGTTGCCACCCTTAAGTTGCCTTGAAAATACTCATCTTGGGGGGGAAAAGTAGCAGAGATGGCTTGCTTGAGAGGGTGGTAAAAATTAATTGTGAGGCAAGGTGGGTGCTTTGTAAGGTGTGTGTTGTTTGAAATGAGTAGCAAAATGAACTTTTCTGTGGTTATGGTTCTGAAGGTTTTTTCCTTTCCTGGGTAGATGCACCAGCAAGGAATCCTGAAAACAGATGACCTGATCACCCGCTTTTTCCGTCTTTGCACTGAAATGTGTGTGGAAATCAGCTATCGTGCTCAGGCTGAGCAACAGCATAATCCTGCTGCCAACCCCACTATGATTCGAGCCAAGTGCTATCACAATCTGGATGCCTTTGTGCGACTTATAGCGCTGCTAGTGAAGCACTCTGGGGAGGCCACCAACACCGTTACAAAGATAAACCTCCTGAATAAGGTTGGGAACCCTGTTTGTACTCATTGCATCTAAAGTGCATAGTCAGGTGTACCTTTGATCAATGTGAAATGTAGACCCTAACGTGGGCTGCTGCTGAAGTATCAGATGAGGACTTCTATGAGTTGGTCACTGAAATGATAAACTGTTGAGTGGAGCATCAGGATGCCAAGTGGCTTTCTGTTCACAAAGATCTCATATCAAACCTGAAATTCACCTTTGTGCCTTGAAATTAAGAAGTCAACTGCTGTTGTTTTGAGGCATTAGAAAGTGTGGTTTAAGGTTGGTGATTCCTGGATGTCTGCCTTGATTTTGTGAGGGCCTTGCCTATACTCTTAAACTATTTGGTTTATGGCTAGGTGGTCTTAGGTAGTTAAGACCTTCCAACAGTGCCCAGTCAGTCATTGTGACTGTAATCCGTGGGACAGGGAGGGCAAAGTATAGTGGTTGGGAGTTGCTGATACAGATTGTAACATTAATTTATGTAATGCTCCCAATAACTAGAATTTTTGATTCTTGTTAGAATCTACTGATTTTTTTATTGATTCTTAAAAGTGTTACCTATAGGCTGACTTGCAGTGTAGTTCTTGCTGTCACCACTGAAATGTCTTCATCTCTTAGGTTCTCGGTATTGTGGTGGGAGTTCTTCTGCAAGACCATGATGTTCGGCAGAGTGAGTTTCAGCAGCTTCCTTACCATCGCATTTTCATCATGTTGCTCTTGGAATTAAATGCTCCTGAGCATGTGCTGGAGACCATCAACTTCCAGACGCTCACAGCTTTCTGGTATGTATTTGAGATTGGCCACAATGCTCATCCTTTCCTGGTAGGATCAAGATTTTTCATCTGAAGGCTGACTGTTCCTTTGTGGTGGCTTAATCACATTTGGAATAACTGGTTCTCCTACAGACTGTCCACTTGCTTGTTTTAAGGAAGATGACTGGTAAACCCCAAGATGCTAAAATGCCTTGCTTCTAGGGCTTTGTATATTTTCCCTCAATGTTACGAAAAGTAATCTTATTGCTGTGCACTTCTAACCTGCTCTAACTTTTCTTTCAGTAACACATTTCACATCCTGAGGCCTACAAAAGCTCCAGGTTTTGTTTATGCCTGGCTGGAACTGATCTCCCATCGGATATTTATTGCAAGAATGCTGGCACATACACCACAGCAGAAGGTGTGGCTGCAGTTTATCTCTTCTGAATTAAAAAGCTCACACAGATGCTTATCTGGTGTGGTGCTGTTTCACATCTCTAAGTGCACTAGTAGCATGGCTGTTCTGTTTTTGTTGTCTTCCATATTCACAGTAACCTAACTGCATGGAGGAGAGTCTTTGTGTCAATAGAGTATGGAAAATAGGGTGAACTGAATTTAATAAACATGCCTTTGTCAAAATCTGGAAGAGCTGTAATCTAGACCAAATACTGTCAACTCAGTATGGCATGTTGAGTGTTCTGGGAACACCCATAGTGTATGATGTGCAGCTAAAGCCTTGACATGAGCTGTGCTGCACTTGCTGCTAGAGCTAGCAGCCAGGCATAACTTCGATCCAGGTTTATATGAAGACCAATATTAATTATAGTTTTGAAATAAAGATTAACTGATCTTCATTGCTTGTTTTCCACCTCCTGTTTTTTTCTTGACAGGGTTGGCCTATGTATGCCCAGTTATTGATTGATCTTTTCAAGTACTTGGCTCCTTTCCTTAGAAATGTGGAACTCACCAAACCTATGCAAATTCTTTACAAGGTAAAAAACCGTCAGCTATTAGATACTATTTCCAAACAAAGTAGAGGTGTTCTGGTAGCAAAATTTACTGTTCTCTTATATTTTAAGAGTTAAATGCAAATCTGGGGTAGGGCAGAAACAGGCTGCCTTCCCAGATTAATTTCTTCCTCTTAATGTTAACCACATGACATAGATGGATGGCTCTGCAAGCTGTTGAGCAGTTTCAGCAGTTACACACCTCTTATGTTATATTTTATTTCACAGGGCACTCTGCGTGTATTGCTGGTCTTGTTGCATGATTTCCCGGAATTTCTTTGTGACTACCACTATGGGTTCTGTGATGTGATCCCACCTAACTGTATTCAGCTAAGGAATCTGATCTTGAGTGCCTTCCCACGGAACATGAGGCTTCCAGACCCTTTCACCCCCAATCTAAAGGTAGGACTTAATTTCATGAGTTTGATAACAGGAAGCTATAGCGCTCCAAATAGTCTTTATCCAGTCTGTTGGCAGAGACTGTGGAATTTTGGGAACAGTTTAACTGTTACTTGAATTGATGCAACCATTCAAAAGTTAACATGTAATTTGAGAATTAAGTGACATTCTAGCAGAACAGCTTGCTTATAAGGCAGGTAGGTTTCAGTTATGTTTGATGCTCAATGTTCAACACTTTCCATACAGAGCGGGATACAATCCTTGTCCTATATGAAACTTGTTGCTTGCCTCTGGTCTGTGTGGCTTCATTAGATATTTGGCTTGCTTGCAAGGCCTCTGCAGGTTCAACCTGAAAGGATAGGCTAAGACTTGTGTTACATGAGAACTGCATCGAGATCCTCGCTTTTGCGTGGAAAACCAGAGGGCTCTTCTTTTTCCAGAGGGAGACTGATTTGATGCCGTCCCTAGATCTGACTGGCCCACAGTGTTGGAGCAAGGGCGTCTTTATCAGTTTGCTGTCTCATTCCGCACTGAAAAACAGTGCTTAAGCAGTCTTTGTGGCTCTGCTGTTTGAAAGTTCAGCCAACGGTTCTTGTCTGTTTTGTTCAGCTCATGCTGAGTTGTATAGTTTGTGCTCCAGAGTTCAGTTAACTGCTGAAGAGCTGGTGTCTGGGCAGTATGTACTTGTAAATACTTTTTCATGAGAAACAGGGATGCCATCTTATCTTGAAAATAGTGAGAGAAACCACCATTCTGAAGCAAGCCTCTTGCATGATAGGGAAAGACTTTGAGAAGTGTTAATGTTATCTGATTAAATCTTTGGGCATATGCTAGTCTGCTAAGCGTGGAATGATTAGAAGCAAACTTTCTCACACTGCTAAAGCATTGTCCTGTTATTCATCCTTGCCTGGGCTGTGCAGGGTGATGGGGAGTGAAGCTGCAATACTCATTTGGTTAGTGCTTCTGGAGATTGAAGAAGGCTGTTCTTGGTTTTGTGGATGTTTGTACTTTTTTAAACTACCAAACTGTCTTGAGTGTGCATAGGGAGACTTCAGAGGCGGTGACTGAATTACCCTACAGCCTTTGCCCTTGAATTCTTTTATCCTCCAGTCTCAATTCTGAGGCAGTTGTCTAAGAAGTTTGCACATTAGCGACCAAGTTTCTTCTGAAATCTGCAAAAGTCTAGCGTTTCCTTTTCTTTGCTGGTAGGAAAAAGTGATCAACAGTAGTAGGTGATGTAATATCACTTGCAGATCTGTTTTTTGCAATTTGTTGCCTTAGAGATGGTTTGTGGTTTAGCTGACTGGGTTTTCTCTCAACAGGTGGACATGTTAAGTGAGATTAATATTGCTCCACGAATACTCACGAATTTCACTGGAGTGATGCCACCTCAGTTCAAGAAAGACTTGGATTCGTATCTCAAAACTCGTTCTCCGGTCACTTTTTTGTCTGACTTGCGCAGCAACCTACAAGTGAGTGGTTGGTTTCTGAGGATGCTGAATTTAAATAGTGTGGGACAAATGATCTTGCTGGCTGAGTCACCTTCCTTTCCTGCAGGAATCTTGTTGGTGTGTAGCAAGCATGTGTTCCAGGCAGTAGAAAAGCCTCTGAAAATGCACACTTCTCTGAATAATTTTTCTGCCACTCCCTAGCAGGATGTGTGTGTTAAGTAGTTTCAGCCAGGTGGCTTTAAGGAAAGAGGAATGTTGACTTTAATGACTCTAAAATGATCTAATTTAAAAGCAGTTGGCTTTATCTACATGAGCTGCCAAATGCTTATAGTGAAAATGTAAAGTTACTTAAAACTTTGACTCTTCTGCTTGCATCTCTCTAGTGCACAACCTTGCAGATCTTTAGTGAAGAATATTGTCAGAGCTGATGGCATCAAGCTTGCCTTTTTTTGTCCTCAACAACTGGCTGATGAAGAGTCTTGTGACTCCAGCACTGTTTACCCAGGCTTTGTCTAAGATTCAGCAGGTTTTATGGAACTTGTTTGCGGTTTTTTTAGTCTGTTTAAATTTTGACTCCAAATGGATTCATTGTTAGAAATCTATAGATCTGCATGCTAATACTTCAGGGATGAAAAAAGGCCAAGCAGCCAAAGCCCAGTTCAGAGTTGTTAGCCAACAATACTTCGTACGTCGCATGGCCTGGCTTGCGACAGACTTCAGGACTGAAGCTGGGCTTTCTCAGCAAATTGCTCAGACTGAAGCATTGAATTTGTGGATGTCTGAGCACGTTGTCTTCTGTGCAATCAGGAAAACACTTGGATGCTTTTGTTGTACATGCTGTACCTTTGATTGAAGAAATATAGAATGTTAATGCTTTCATATCTTTGCTATTAGGTATCAAATGAACCTGGCAACCGCTACAACATCCAGCTGATTAATGCACTGGTGCTCTACGTAGGTACTCAAGCTATTGCGCACATTCACAACAAAGGCAGCACACCCTCTATGAGCACCATTACCCACTCGGCTCACATGGACATCTTCCAGAATTTGGCAGTAGACCTAGACACTGAAGGTGAGCTGGGAACACTTCTAGTTCATGCAATGTCAAATTTAACAGCGGATTGTCTGTTTGAGCTATGCGAAATACAGATAATTTCACGTAGCTGCTAGTGACTTCACAGTAAGTAACGCTATGCTACAATATTAACTCTGAAAACAGGAGCAGTATTAAAACCAAATGTTCAAGGTATTCAAGGGAATGAGAAATAAGTTTAAGAATGGAATTCTTAGGGCCCCAACAGCTTGGGTTGATTAGGCTTTTTCATATCTTCAGTTGTTCCTGATTCTTGTACCTTCGTAAGGCAGGCTCACAAACCTTAACCTTAAGCAATACTAGTTGCTTCTTTAGTCCTTTTTGCGTGTGTAAGGGAAACTACAGTACTTGTTTTTTCTTCTCTGCAGGCCGGTACCTTTTCTTGAATGCAATTGCCAATCAGCTGCGATACCCCAACAGTCACACCCACTACTTCAGTTGCACCATGCTGTACCTGTTTGCAGAGGCCAACACTGAGGCTATCCAGGAGCAGATCACTAGGTGAGAGGGAAGGCATTTCACCTGCCAGCATTCAGCTTTGTGCTTTCCTTGTGTATTTTGTGTCTTTCAGCTCTTAACTGTGTTTACTTTTGGGTTTCAGGGTTCTCTTGGAAAGACTGATTGTGAATAGGCCTCATCCCTGGGGTCTCCTTATTACTTTCATTGAGCTGATAAAAAATCCAGCATTTAAGTTTTGGAACCATGAGTTTGTTCACTGTGCTCCAGAAATTGAGAAGTGAGTATAACTTCACCACAAAATCACTAAAACAATGTATATCTGAAGCAGAGGCTGAATTGTACCTGGAGGTTTTGATGTTTCATAGTGGAAGTGCCATTGGCTGCCATAAATGCATCTAACGCTGCCTTGCTTCTGTGTTCAGGTTGTTCCAGTCAGTTGCACAGTGCTGCATGGGGCAGAAGCAGGCCCAGCAAGTAATGGAAGGGACTGGTGCCAGTTAGATGAGCTGCATCTTGCGTAGTAAGTGTGCCAGCCTGGAGGTCCCCGACCCATCAACAGACAGAAGACTCTGTAAGGCTCCTCCTGACCTTCCCAGCCCCCTTGATTGGGTAGACGCCACAGACCCTGGGTGAAAGTCTATGTGGGCACGTTCCAAAGTTTGAAACAAATTGTTGACTTTTGGCCAAAATTCAGAAGATGCTGTGAATATCATTTTGAACTAGTGTAAATACAAAGAACAGAAACGTTTGTCTGGACTTTTGGGTTTGTGCAACTTGTGTAAAAGGCAAGTGGGTAACTGGTGCCTGTCCAGCTTGTAATAAAGGGGCAGTTGCTGATGCCAAGCATTTGTCTGGGGCAGACCTCCTTGTCCTGACATTCCCAGACTCCCAAAGAATATTGAAAAGCCAGTTATAATATTATGTAACTTATTTTTCTTTATGTGGATGGGGGACCTTTAAATCACTAAGTTGTTTTACACAAAAAGGTGGATGTGTTTGGAATATGGGAATATTATGGAGTGTGGGAGGGGTGAGGGAGGGGTTAAGGCTGAGTGTTGCTTTCCCCCCACCCTCATCAAGTGCTGACAGACAGCAAGTGGAGTGGCGGTCAGAGAATGCCTCCTTTCCGTTTGAGAAGACACACCTCAGGCCCTTGGGGAGAGGGTCAGCTGTTTTTAGTAAAGAAACCAGAGACCAGGCCTATAGCTTTTTTTTTGACACTTGTAAATTTTGGAAGGTGGGGGGTTAAATCTAGACCTTTTCCCACCCTACCCCTGTGACCACACAGTATAAGTTTGTAAAAAAAAAAAAAACCAACAAAAACAAAAACCAAAAGGGGAAAAAAAAACCCAAAGGACCAATACAGCCCATTTTGTAAGGATTTTGAATGTTTTGTAAAGTATTGGTCCATGTGTTGTATTTTGTAGCCTTTCTAGTTCTTGGGCTTTAGTTCTCCCACTTCTTGTATGTATGCATACTGTAGTTACACATTAAAGTCATGACATGCAGCATGTGCCACTCTGCTTATTCTCTCCAGTTCCATCCTGCCTGGCCAGTTGATGTCTTTCAAAGCCTGTTCCACCCACCCCAAAACTGCAATTTTCCAGTGTGTTTTGAGCACTGCCTACTGAAAGCAACTGCATTTGTTTTCTAGCATGAGGTCAGAGGGGAGAACTGTTATGACTAGAGAGGGCCTTGCCTTGAAGTGCAAAAGGAAAGGACCGTTGTGTGGAGACAGAAATATCTTAGTTCCAAGTTCAGGAGCAGAGTTTGTCTCAGAGTTGTGCTGGAAGGGAACCTGCTTGCCATGGAGGGATACAGAGCACAGACAGCAGATCAGCTTCACTTCCAATGATGTTCGCCCTGCTCTAGGATGCTGTCCTTGGCAGGGGTCTGTGCAGGGGTGGGAGTTAGCTGCAATAAGGATAGGTGGCTTCAGTGTTGCTAATACTACAGAGTCCTTTAGCCTATGCCTAGCAGATACAAGGCAATAAAGCCTCACTGCTTGATTTTTAGATAGCTTTAACAAACTGCTATTGTGTGGGTGGAGAGGTCAGGATTTCCTGCTCAGGTTTAAGGGATTGTGTACCTGGCTGTGCTCTTGCTGCACAGAGCAAGAACTAGCTCCAGGGGACTACCGAGCCAGCTGTGCCACTGGACTGCAGCTCAGAGGGAATTCCCTGTCTGACCTGTTTCTAGGCAGTGTTTTTTTCAGTTTCGCATGTGCTGAGGAGTGGTCTCTCGCCAGTTCCTACAATTCCCTGGCACTTCTTCAGCAGGCCAGTGGTTGTGCTTGAAAAAGTTGTAATTTTTTGCTTCTGGTGTTGCAATGCCAGCTTACTCTTCTTCCTGTATTGGGTTAGGATACAGACAATTAGCAGCAACCACTTTTTCTTTATCTAGTCCAGATGCCATGGGATTTTTTTCTGCTATTCAACTGTAGCAAACCATATGCAGAGCTTATTGACTTGTCCTAACAGCTCAAAGGTCTCTCTGGTTCTGTACTAACGCTGCTGTACATGGCTGGTTCCCTTAAGGCTTAAGAACTGTTAGGCTGGTGTAAAGAGGGGGTGGAAGGTGGACAGGACTCGGCCAAGATCCCAGTAACATAAGTTGGGCTGGTAGGATGGAGGCTACTGTGCTTTGTATCATCTCTTGGCAGGTAAGGAACTGGTAGCTGGTGCTGTTAAAGTAAATGGCACTGGTGTTGGCTCCCCAAGGATGACCAGTGTCCTTGCCAGGAGAGGCTCTGGGTATGATGCACTTTGTGTTTAAGAAATGAAGACTAACCTTTTGAACCACTGTGTGCCTAGTTTGAAGTCTAGTCTGCTAGCAGGGAGAGAAGTGCCAGGATGGCAGACTGAACTCTTAAACAGCCACTGCATTACACAACTGTAAAAGGGGAGTTAAAAAATGCTAGCCTGAGTACTGCTAAACTACCCTGGCCCCCAGCAGTGCAGGGAGGGCTGTAGCTGACCTCTATCTCCAGTACAGTCTGCATTTTACTTGTTTGCAGTACTCCTAACTGCAGCAGTAGCAAAGGTCCCACCTCTTAGATGGGGCTTTGCACCCTGTTGAAGTAGACAGCGTTGGCTGGGTAAGAAGTGTCTTTAATAAATACAGCTTGGCCTCCAGTGTCTTTATTAAATATAGCTTGGCCTCCGGTGTTTTGTCATGCAAAAACTGCTGAGGGAAAAATACTGATAAAGCTAAACATGATGCAGAGCAATGCCTGAGTTCAGGGAAGAACTGTATCAACTGGAGAGTGTGCATCAAATGCTTAGCCTGCACAGAAATGCCTTTTATAGAGGTAAAAGGAAATATCTTGCTATACTGAGCTTACCTGAAAACCAGATGGATGGGCTTGTACTCTTTAAAATGCTCAGTGTTAACCAAGTATAGGTGAAGAGTTAGTGCTGTCAACATCTCCACCTGCCAGGTGTTTACTCTGAACCTCTAAGCTAAGAGCTAACAGCTGGATTTCTGCCCTCTTCATCTAGACAAGGAGCAGTTCTTGCCTTAGACTTCTGATGCTAAATGAGGGAACTCATGTGCTGTTCTGACAGTGTACAGCTGCCTTCCTAAAACAGCCATCAGGATGTCTGGGTTTTCCTAAGTCCTCTAGGAGAAGGTGGCAGTTGTGTTCAGAGCTCTCGGTGTAAGATAAGGCCACCCAAAACCACTTCTGCACTGTGGAAGATAACTTTGTTTATGTAGAGGTAGCTAAAAAGCCATGTGTCATAGGAGGGACAAGTGGGCCCATACTCAATCTTGCCATCTCTTCTTGCTCTGTAGAAGAGATGGCCAAAGGCTGACCTTCCCTTCCCAAGCACAGTTCCAGGCCATTCATTTCCAGAGCAGCCAGGTTTCTAGTGTACCAGCTCTAGCAGCTGGTGCAAGATCCGTTTCTGTCCATAGCGCACGTGCAAAGCTTGCTGCTCCCTTCGACTCAGTTTCTCATAAACCTCCTTGTTATAAAGCAAGTCGTGCTCTGCTTTCAAGTCTGACCCGTAGGACTCCAGGGTCAGCAGCACGCTGTCATAGAGGAGCTTCTTGCAAGGGGTTTTAAGTCTGGAAAGAGCCTCGTTTGAAAGGGTAGAGTTTTCCTCTTCCTCACTGTCATCTTCCCAGCCATCTTGTTCCTTGTACTCCTTGAATTCTTCTTGAGACATGCACAGCACCTGTAATGACCCAGGCAAAGAGACAAGTTGCTGGCAGGGTGAGTACATGAGGCTTTCTCCTCTGCTGAAGTGTAGGTTTAGAGCCACATGGAGGAGGTGAGTTACTCCTCAGCTGCACTAATGGTGAGTGTGTCAAATGGGCTTAGCTACCACAGTAACTTGTGGGTTAGAAGAACATTCAAACAGCAAACCTGGGTCTTGGCAACAGTCTTAAAAGACATCTTAGCTGCTACCTACAAAGACGGAACAGCAGTGGCCATGGAGCCAGTCCAGACTGGTGTGTATGCACGTGTGGGTGGCTAGTTCAGGAAAGGAAGATTGCTCATGGTACCACACCCCCTACCACTTTTCATGCAGGAGTGTTAGTACCCAAATGGCTTTACATTTGTCCCCCCACCTCCAGCGAGCCATTCTGCATGCTGGTTTGCACAGCTGCAGTATGCTTGGTCTGTGCTCTTCCTTGTGTGGCTCTTCCACCATGTGGCAGTGCTTACCTTCAGGGTCATGGACAGCTCTTCCTCTGTCAGCACTTCATCCCAGCCAAGCACAAAGGCGCCTTCCTCCCCCACCATCTCCAGTTGGCACAAATAGTCCCACTGCTCTGAGACCAGCTGCTTCTCTGCTTCACTTCTGGCACCTGTTTTGAAGAGAGCAGAGCTGCAAACCCAACTTGGGTTGTGGTGGACAGGGTGGTGGTGAAGGGAGAAGGGGAAAGAGGAGGCAGAAAACACAAGGCGTAGCCCCAGCACCTGAAATGCTGTGGAAAAGGCTTATTTTTCATGTCCTCCTTGATCCCTGCTTCATTACATCACTATTTAGCAGAGATCCCCATCCTTGCCCAAGTAGCCACAAGTGCCACTCACACTGCAGTGCTGCCTTGCGTACTGTCACCATCTGGATGTCGGCCGTGTCATTGGTGTTGCCAGGGTAGGGCTCTGCGAAGCCGTACATGTGTAGGAGCTGCCAGTTGGCCATCTGCCCATATGTGTTGAAGATCTCTTGTCCCTTGCTGACGGGCCGTGTGGTGACCATCCGTAAGCATTGCTGCAAGCAGGGAGAGAAGAGGCTCTTAGAGCTGCCATGATCCTACCGCTTGGAAACAAGGTGTTTTGAAGAGGCTCAGGTGACTTTTAAGCTCTTCCCAGCTAAAGTCAGGCATGCACCAGGGGACTATGTTGAGCAAAATGGCTTCATATTAACAAGATCCAGTCCAGACTGGCTTGCTGCCCTGGCAGGTGACCATGCTGCTCTGGGTTCAGAAAGCCAGCCTCACTGTGCCACCACTCCCCAAGGCCTGGTAGGGGAGAGGAACCAAACCGTGACTATGCCTGGCACAGCGGCTTCACACTCACGGGAGCGTATTCCAGGTTGGCGTTGTGGTTGGCCACGTGATTCAAAATATCTGCTACGGGCACCATCATTGGAGGATTTGGCCCATTCTCATCTTCATCTTCTTCCTCCAAAGGCTCCTGAAAGCTAAGACAAGGGTGGTGAAGACAAGCCAGGTGTACACCCTGTAGCACAGGGCAAACTTCACCTTACCATTCTCGTGCAACTGCAACCTTTAAGTAACACAGCCTATCATCTTTCCTATGATCCTGCTCCTTGCTGGAGCAAAGCCCTCTCTTCTCACCTGTAAGCCATGACAAATGCCACCAGCTGCTTGTACATCTCCAGCGTATGCAGGCTGGGGTCAAAGATGTTGGGGTGGGACTCCATGAAAGGCAGGATGATGGAGCTGTACTCCAGGTGGATGTTAGCCAGGTCCTTGTTCACAGCTTCTGGGATGCCTGTGCCCTGCAGGAGCCTTGTTCGCTCTTCTTCAGGCCTGTTGCAAGGAAAAGAGCAGGTTTATCTCCGTCTGCCCTAGTGAACAGGGTCTAAGACTTCTTCCTTCAAAAATCTCAGCTTCCTTGTGCTCTCCAGATTCATACTTTTTGGTTATGCCTGTAGTTAGCTCCACCACCAGGTCCCTCAGGCTACTGCCATTGACAGCAGGGGGTAGAATAGAGGAATGGAATCAGCCAGTGGGACCATATCCATCCCTCGTCAGCAGCCCCTGGACTATGCCTGCATTCAGCTGTCACACTGGGCTACCTTGCAGCCCTGCTTAGTTTCACCTTACCAGAACATGGGGTGATCCAGGCTCCTGAAGTCCTGCCAGAGGGAGAAATAAGGCTGCCACTGGGAGTTGCTGGTCGTGTACTCATGTAGCAGAGCTAGCAGGAGAGGCACCCACCCCGACTGGCTCTGCAGGGACTCCTGGGCTAAGGAACCAAAGACAATGCAGAAAAAGTAAGTTAATCTGACGTTTTAGTCTTTTCCTCTGAGAACAAGTCTTCCAAGGCCAAGCACAGGTCTTTCACTTCAGCCTGTGCTGGGGGCTTCTGCTTTTAGTCTGCAAGACCTTTCCAAGCTGGGGTTGGTCCTGAGCTGAAGCAGAACCAGCTTTACAGCTATGGGTAAGCCAGAACCCTCCCCTCAGCACGAGGCAAGAAAGGAACTGGGCTTTTCCCTAGGGCCCTAGGGAAAGCACCCCTGTAAACATCAGCGATAGTACAGCAACCACCTTTACTCTCTGCCAGCCATGGCTCCACGCTCCCTGCGGCAGTAAAGGGGTGCCTGGCCACCCCTCTTTCCTCCCTGGTGGCTCACAGCCCTGCCCTCCCTGCCCCCCATCCCCTACACCCCAGGCCCCTTCCCCTTGCTCCGGAACGAGCCCAAGCAGGTTGCCGAGGCCGGCAGAGCTGCCTGG